AGGATTTCTCTCCTTAACCTTGCAGTGTGGACAAGAAGGGCCATGTCCACTACTTGATCAAGTGGCGGGACTTGCCTTATGACCAGGCATCCTGGGAGAGTGAGGATGTGGAGATACAGGACTATGACTTGTTCAAGCAGAGCTATTGGAATCACAGGTGAGTCACTTTGGTGTGGAGTTGAGTTGCTTCTTATTGAGGACCCTAGACAGTGGTGTGATGTCTGTCTTTTTCAGGGAGTTAATGAGGGGTGAAGAAGGGAGACCAGGCAAGAAGCTCAAGAAGGTGAAGCTGAGGAAGTTGGAGAGGCCGCCTGAGACTCCAACAGTCGATGTGAGTTGGGGCCGAAGCGGGAGGACACAAGTTACCGGGTAGGACAATGTATCTGTGTGCTCCGATCTAGTGATGGTGCAAGTAGTAAGTTTATAGCTGAGAATGCTTCATGAAGTCTGTTTGCAAATCTTTTCGTTGTCAGAAAAATAAAAGCATAGGAGGTAGTGGTATTTTTGTTTTGTTTTAATTGATTTTTAGAGAGAGAGAAAAACACATTGTTTTTTCTACTTATTAATGCATTCATTGGTTATTTCTTGTACCCTGACTGGAGATGGAACCTGCAACCTTTGCGTATTGGGACAATGCTCTAATCAACTCAGCTACCTGGCTAGGGCCAGGAGGTGGTGTTTTAAATGACTGAGGAAGTGTTATGGGGGTCGGGGTGGGGTGATCATACAACCAAGCTTTTATGAAACATTGGAACCTGGGTCTTCTGATCCTTAATTCATGGCTTATTTCCTCTGGTGTGTGTCTGTGTGAGATGTGAGGACGATTAAGGTTAAAAAGATGAATCTTGGGGGCAGCAGTGGGGACGGGGACATAGGATTATCTGGTGGATCCTGACTGCAGAATTAATGTATTGCTAGGGAGGCTATGATATGTCTTTTCTCAAAGATCTGTGGGACCCCAAGACCTTCATCTGCCTGATAGGTTGTTATCAAACACAAAGTTACAATAATTAATGAGGATCTTTTTCTCCACAATTTTCTGTGGCTCCCCCAAGGAGGATATAGTGAAAATGTGTGAGCAGGAGGCAGCTCTGTTATGAAAGCAAGGGAATCCCTTGCTAGCTCTCAACTTCTTTATTTCATCCTTCAGCCAACAGTGAAGTATGAGCGACAGCCAGAGTACCTGGATGCCACAGGTGGAACCCTGCACCCGTATCAAATGGAGGGCTTGAATTGGTTGCGCTTCTCCTGGGCTCAGGGCACAGATACCATCTTGGCTGATGAGATGGGCCTTGGGAAAACTGTCCAGACAGCAGTCTTCCTGTATTCTCTCTACAAGGAGGTAGGAAAGCTGGGCCTATTATTTCTTTGTGGGGGTATTTTATGTTCATGGTCTTCTCTTACACTCTGAGGAGAGAGAAGAAGAAAAAAATGATTGCTAACCTTGAATGACAGTAAGATAAGACA